TTATCTTTCATATACTCGGCTAATCTTTCCTTAAGCTTTTTTCCAAAAGCAAAATAGCATATAATAATTTCTTGATTTACACTTTCAATTCGTTCTTCAGCCTTAACAATTGCACTATATAAATCAGAAAAATTACTTAGACTTGTGATAGATTCAACCTGAGAAGTGGTACTACTTGTTGAAGAACTTGGCGATTTCAGCTTCTCAATAAGTTTTTTTAACATAGAAACATTTTTGTCTTTAGTCTTTACTTTCTTACTAGATAATTTATTTTCAGGGGTATCTTTACTAGGTCTTTTACGGGATTCTTTTTCTAAAGAGATAATGCTTTGGTCTGTTGGATGATTACTTTCACCATCTTCATTATCATCTACATCTGACATATCTTCTTCTATAATTTCTGGCAAATCTTAAGATTGGATACTATGTTTTTCCATCCTTCTAACTACTGATGATGTACTTGATTCAGAGTCCCTTCTATACCCTGTTTCAATAATTTCAATCTCCTCACTACAACCAGAAAATAGACACGTATTTGGAATTGTAAGTAAAAGTTTTTTTTCAATACAAAGTTTATGAAACACATGTCCACAAGATAGTGTTGTAAATGCCTTAAGAGGAAATGAAATAATTTCTTTCCCACATTCCGAACAATTACTTAGATTTGGAATTTTTTTTCCCTTAATAATACCATCCTTGAAGGTTTTTAGAATATTATATATGAGATTTTTGATGTTATTAATAGGAGTAGATAGTGCAGAAGTAGAAGTGGTAGACATATTTCAATTATAACCAGATAAGTTTTACATAACAAAATCTCTTATACTTTGCTTATTTTTATAGTTTATTCTTCATGACTAACAAACCTAATTTGCAGATTTTATAAAATCTCATTTTGTATTTGGCGATCTATTCATTCAGAATTAATTAGTATAGGGGAATCGCTTGATCTTTGCTGGCAATCGTGGATAAAAAATTTAGCTTAAGAGTAGACCCAAAGGGTCATTGCTCTGCAATAGGTATGATTAGTAAGTTGGTTAGTACCGAAATACTTCTATGCTGATCTCTGATTTGTGGATTTAAAACACATGACATTACTCTCTTGAGGCCCATTATAATGTAATGTGATTTATTTCACTTTGTGGCTATATATAAGATTATCAAGCTCAATAATTAACTTTACCTTTTACTTTACGCTTTCGAATAGGGCATTTCTTTACTGCTCTAGTCTTATGCGCATGTGTAACTTTTATTTCTGAACTAGATGTGGAAGAATTACTTGAATCACTGTTTAAAGTGTCTAAATTAGAAGAAGCATCTGTGGAATATTTGATATTATTTTTCTTACTCTTATTTTTGGAAACATCATTATTTAATCTTCTGAATAGTAGATATATAGGAGGTATGTTGCAAAGCAATGACCCTTTGGGTTATCTCCAATATTTGAGAAAATTTTGTTAATTATATTTATAATCTCCTCTTGAGCTAGACCAGATTTAGATTCTGTTGATTTAGATAAATTATTTTTAGTGAAGCTGGCTTTGTTAAAATCTTCATCGAATAATGGGATGCTTATACCATCTATTACAATTTTAGCATGGTGGGCACGGGTTTTGTGAGAATGTCCAAAACTTATTTTTGCTTCACGCATCCATAACCAATTTTGCCCCAACACCAGATCGAATGATGGATTTTTGTGAATTTGAAAGTCTATTAGTTCAGTATCACCTAAACTCTGTCACTTTCTTTTAATGCAAAACTGTAAATCTAAGCCTTTTATTTTTTTGCCTATCAGATTATCACCAACTATATCTGCTAATCCGTGATCAGATTCAAGCTTATCGAATAAGTGTTTGCTAATAGTATTATATTTAGATGCTGTATCAATTAATACTTTTACTGGAATTTTTCCTTCGACAAGGGTATTTACAAACATTTTAAGTATATTTAATGATGTATTTTTTTATTGCATATTAATAAATAATTTAACATAGACAATAACTGAAAATAATAATATTGAATTAATGCTAAAGCAACAGAATATGATTGATTCATGTTCAGAATGTCCAATTATCACTTATGAGATTGTGAAAAAATTGGATTTTGAAAAAGATAAAAGTTTACTCAACATTACTGATAAAGTGGTATCTGATATTGTTAAGCAAGTATTGGGTAAAAAAATCCAGAATTTTCTCTGCCAATTACTGGAGATAGTGAAACCCGAGATTCAGCAGAATATTATAAACTCGATAGCAAATCTAGATATTTCTCAGAGAAATCGTACACTATCTGAGGCTAAAAGAAAAAAAACAATTTTTAATAATACCGCATCTGAGTCCTTGTCTGAATCTGGGTCCAGTTCTGAATCCTCTTATGATAATGAAGATTTTACTATAGATATGGTAAAAGTGAAGAAGCGCAATTAATCTTGATCATAGATATGAAATCGTCTTGCTTGCTCATAAGAAACTCCTCTTTTTCTATAATTAACTACAATGTAATTTTGCACAGGAGAAGTATGATTATCAGATATTCTTAGTCTCATGTGCTACTGCACTGTAAACTGCTCCTAATTTACATAAATATTTAGAAATTAAATCATAATCTTTTAAGAATCTATTGAACTATTTAACTCCTAGCTTACCTGGATCACCCATTCATCCAGATGATATAGCATGCTGAATCCAAGTGAATAGTTCTTTGGCTCATTCTTGATTCTTTTTCATAGATCTAAATTTTCTAGGAATATCTGGCTGACCTCGGTTCTTCGCATAACCCGTCACTTCAGTATCTGTAATGCGTAAAGTTTAAGTTCAGCAGGACGAATACAAAGCATCATCATAACATCAGCAAGAGCCTGATAATCAGATAAAGTTTTAATATTGTATGTATCTAATTTTTCTTTGACTGATTCTAATATAAATTCATCTGAATAATTGATATGTTTAGCTTCAGTTTTTTTCTGATTGATACTCTGGATTTTGTTGGCATCTTCTGTAATATCTGGAAATTTTGTAATCTCAATTATCTCAAGTGATGCATTAAGGTTCTTTAATTCTCTACAAAGACAAGTGAGACGTGATGAGCCAGCATTAGCATTTTTTGCTAATAGGGCTAAGGCATAAGCTTTAGCTCTTACATTTCTAATGCTAAGTTTATCCTGTAAAATCTGTTGTGCCATATCTCTAATTGTTTCTTCCTCCATTCCTTTAGAAAGTTGATTGGCGATTACAATATTTACATTTTTATCTGAGGTAGTTACACTGTGTCTACTTTCATTTTTCAGGATTGTGAATAAGGCATTTACTTGATCTTCACTAAACCCATATCTATTTTGCAAGATTTGTTTTGCTTTCTCTTTGACGATCTCTTCTTCTAAACTTTTTTGGGGCTTGGTTATTGCTATTTTACAATTACCTTCAACTAAATTTATAGTTTTATTTTTTCTACTTCTCTGATTAGGTATCAATACACCTACCTGTTCACTGCTAAATTTTAAACCATCCTGAAGGCGTCTGCGAGCCTGATTCTGCTTCTTATCATCAGTAAGGTTTTCAAGAAATTCTGAGGTATATTGACTGAAATCGGATATACCCATCTTAGAGCTAAGATTGTATTTTTCAATGATTTTAGTTGTAATGGCTAACATGATTGAATGTTATAATAGGTTGAGTAGATTATGAGCAGTTCATTAGGTTATATATACTTTAAAAAATATTTTTTAACATCGAAATTAATTACGCTTTTTTCTCCTATATCTAGAAAAAAAGAGTTTATGAACTTACATAAGCAAGAGTAGTATGTCGATTTGAAATTTACTAACATATAGGATATAACAAAAAAAATTTATAGCTTTGAGGATAGGATCCCAGGCTATATTAATTGTATATTGTGTTTTATTTTTTAGTATATTGCTCGAGCTAGAATTAATATATGTTCTGGCTCTAGAATGTTTGCCTTAGTGAATGCATTGTATAAGGCGTTTGGACTATATTTTAAGAAAATCAAATTCAGATGATGGAGGAATTTCATAAGTATAACACTTCTCCATTCACACACTTTATTACTATCCCAACACATTTCTAATAATGCAGTTAAGCTGGAGTAATTCATCTCGATCAAGTTATCTAAAGACATTTTTCTATTTCTTTCTATAGTGAAAATACTCATTTCTTCTTCGATAATAGATGACATAGTAATTGAACATCTTTCACATATGTCTCTTCTTCAGGCTAAAATAGAAAGGGGTGGTATCAGAGCAGGATAATAAAAGTCAGCTAGGGGGTAGATTGTACTGTATTCATCTAAATCAATTGGTGGAATATCTTCTAAATAATGCGTAAGATCTCTGGTATATTTATATCCTTCGCATAACAATCTATTATATAATTTTCCTTTCCTTTTAATCTAATGATTAGTGGAGAGATTAAGCGCTTCTTCAGGTTCATTGAATTCTTTATTATATTCTGATTCTTGGATATATATTTTTCCGTTTATAATATAGTATATAGTTATGAAAATGATAATAGTTAATTGTTACATATGTAAATGATAAGTTTAATTGGTTATTTTTCCTTTTTTTCTCTATGTCTCTCAGAAAAAAGATGTATATGTTAACAGCATTTATCTGGCTTTGAGGTTATAGACTAAGAAGGCAGGATACATATCTAGTAAATTACTTCATATATACAGATATTAAGCATGCAGAGTTTCTTTTATACACTTCTGTTTATAATATTTATACGCTCTTTTCCTACTTTGACCACACAGGACACAAAGCTGAAGACTCGATTTAGTTCCTTGCCTATATCCTTTACATGGTCGGGAGATTATTAAACCCTTTCAAATCTTAAATACATGGGTAGCACAATATTGTCCTTTTGCTAAGATCTTGCTTAAATGGGTTTCCCCAACTAATAACCAATTACAAGGTATTTCGATTCGATATCACAAAATGGTTATATTATTCTATTAGTATTAGTGCTTTTATATTTAAAATTAAATTCGAGAATGAAAAATTTATCAAATATTGTTTTTAAGTGTCACAAAAACCAGTATATATAACACAAAGTTTGCGTAATATTTTTTATCTAAAAAATTTATATCAGCTAGTTTGTAGGAGCAAAAAATTCCCCTATAGCGAAGCTTCTATCTGCAAAACTCATCCTTAGCATAATAAAAGTAGTTATAATAACTTACTATAGATATCCATTTTTCCAAAGTATCTCTATATTTTTTGTCCAGTCCTCATCATTATAAATGCATGTATATGCTTAGGGTTCACCTTTATCTTCATATAGCCGAAGATCAATCTTCATACATATTAATTTTTCTCATCTAGACAGTTTCATATAGTTCTCTGAATCGACCCCATCACTTCGTGCAAATTCAATTATTTTCACATCTGCCATTATTTTATCATAATAAATTCTCGCCAAATCCCTATCTTTTTCAGTAATAGTAATGAACTTATCTGGATTCTCACCAAGTTCGATAGCTTTTTGTCTTAATCGTATTTCTCGTTGCTCCTGGTTTGATATCTGAGTGGGCATGATATCTGCTAGGAAGATACTTCGTTGATGGTTTTTGGTTCATTGTTTACAGATAAGTCGGGGGAGATTTCGGGATCATTTATCAATTCGATAATTTCTGAAGATTCAACTTTATCATTTACCGGTTTAATGATCTCAGAAACTGGTTCGGATTTATCGTCCACAAGTTCTACGTGTATGATCTCGGGTGGTGGAGATATATCGATAGACTTGAATGATGAAGCAACTAAACTTTCATTTGTTTTAGAATTGAAGAGATCCTGGGTCATGTTAGTAGTAGGAGGGGTGGATACTATTTCCTTACCTTTTTCGATGTAATCGGTGGTCGACGACCTGGCTATATTTTTGCTGGTTGAGGATTTATTGCAAAGCAATGACCCTTTGGATCTACAATTTCAGATACGTTAAATACAGGGATATCTGTGGACGCGTTGGAGGATATCTTGCCTTGAGGTGTGTTGGAAAATTCTTCTATATCGATACCCGATTCGCGTAGTTTTCTCATGATTTTGGATCGATCAAGGGTATAAACCCAGTCTCTTTTTCCATTGATTCGTGCTTGCTTGCATTCTATACCAATTGTTGGAGGAGTTTTTCCAAATTTTTTGTTAGTAAATGGATTTTCACCATTTCTTTCACACTAAATATGATATTCCTGATATAAATTTGAATATATTGAATTCTCAGTTCTATTTTCAGGCCAAGATGAAATATGATCAATTATAAATCGTTTTAGGTTTGGTAAATGTTTTAACATTATATCTGTTTTCATTTTAGTAGCAGGAATATCTTGTGGATTCCAATCTGAGATATCAAGACTGAGTAAATAAGCCATAACTACATTTGGTGCGTTAGGGTGTTCGAGTTCTTTGGCCAAATTCTTAAAATATACCATGTTACCTTTATAACAGGAAGATACATCGAAACACACGATATGATGATCACCCATTTCTATCCAGAGTGAAGCATCATGATTACTTAATACCATAAATCCAGCATAATCTTTTATGACTTTTGGTTCAGTACCTTTACATTCAACTGTTAAATAATCTTCTGTGATAAGTGATTTAAGATGATCATTATATTTATTCCAATCTTCACTAAACATACCTGTTTCATTCATAACAATTAGTTTATGAGCCTGAATGCAACTATTAAAACACCCCAATATTTTTCCAAGATCAGATGTTGCATAGAAAAGCTCTGATCCGAGGACTTTCTTACCTATAAAATCAATTAAGATATTTTTTCTGCAACCTGGTAAGGAACGCAATACTTGAATTGTTCCAGGTTTTTTAGATAGTTGTTGTACTAGATATGCACACCAGTACCAGAAATATTTACTAAGCTCTTCATTTTCATCAGAGATTATATTTTTTACATGCCATAGAATTGGATTAATAATAGCCAGATTAATCTCGATTGCTGGTCAGGCTTTGAATTCTAAAAAGAGATTGAAGAACTTGGTATTAGAAAATGGAATGTCTGGTGGGTATGGTAAGAAATCGACATTATGATAAAGAATCAAACCTTTGGTAACTGCATGATGTATTAATGATTTTAATTCGATTGAATCCCCCCAAGTTCGATTATATTAATTTCGTATTTAGCAAGATCTATTTTGGGTGCCATATCAAAGAAAAGACTGTTATCCGTATTTTCCATTTTAAGTAGCCAAAGTCTCGATGTTGTTTGCACACATGCAACTGTTGCTTGAATTGCTTCATATACTGTACTGCGTGTATAACTTTGCTTGGAAATACACATATCAATTAAGTTCCTCCATACAAAATGGTCATTTAGATCTAAAATTCTTGGTTGCTCTATTTTTTCTGGAGCTGGAAGTCTTTTTTCTTGCTTTTCAGCTGTTTCACTAATGATGAGTTTTAATAAAGGTTTTTTTGTACTGTTAGGTGTTTCTTGATCTGCACGATGACAATAAAGCGATACGTCTTTTTATTTCGAACCACATATGCATTATTATTTTTTGTTCTCGATTATATAGAGGGCAATGTGATCCTGCTATACGTCTTAAAGTGAATATATCTGGAGACATGGGATTTGGGTATAAAACATCAAAACCTTCGATATTCATTATATTGAGTAGTTTCTCTATATAATTGACTTCAGCTCCAATGCTCCTATTATCTGCTTTACTATTTTTTACTATTTCTTTTGGGATTTCTAAGATCGGGCTATCTATAACTAGTGCTTCATCATTAGGAGGACGAAGCATAAAATCAAAAACATTCATATTTTTGGAACCTAATACATTCTTTACATGTACGTGTCCTCTCATCTTTTCAATAAATTTTGGTGTTCCAAGTATTCGTAATAAAAATGATCTTTTATTTGTGATATTGTCAACAATTTCTTTGTCTTGTAAACTCACTGGAAGTTTTTTACGAACAAGTTCGGTAAATACTGCAACTTTGGCAATATTCTTAAGACGCATTCCAAATGTTGAGATATGATAAAACTTTTTTTTTGAATCACTACTACTGGCAATAGTAATAGTAGTTTTGTCCCATTCTGGAAATACATCCAAACAAGTTTTTATAAAAGCATTATAAAGTGTATTTTTTATCTCTTTAGGTGTAAGCTTGAGTTCGATATTATCAAATTTTTCTCTTGGTAAATCAAAATCAATAATGGAACGAAGTGGTTCATCTCCATCAATAAATTCATGCAACGAATGGCCCTGACGATCTGTAAGTATGGCTTCTATTCCATCTCTGGAATCTGTTCTGAGAAATTCTCTAGGTCTTACGCTATCATCCTAGATCTTGTATAGATATTTAGCTACACTCTTTGCTTTAAGCCCCCAGTGGTAGAATGCTTCACTATTTTCTTCCTCTATTTCTGGCTCAAAATTCTCCGAGTTTTCTGGGCTCTCTGGTCGAGAAGGTGGTACTCCCACTTCTGCTAACATGTGATTGATATTTTTTTGAAAATTTTAGGTATCCATGGTAAGTATATTTTACTGCTAGTATATTATTCTGAAAAAAAAAGTTCAAAATAAAAATTAATTCTAAAGAATAGTTATCAGTAGATAATAACCATTATATCAGAAATTATATAAATATGGCATTTTATCGTTGCTCCTATATTCTTAGAACTGAAAAAGTTTGCAATCGAGGTTGCTATAGGCCTGAAGGGTGCAAAGTTTACTGGAATTCTCCACCATGCATATCTTGTAAAGAATGTGGTAAGTTGACTTATTCCGATTATAATTATTGTGATACTCATGCAGATAAATATCAAAGGCATGATCGATATCAGCAGAAAAAGCTAGAGAAGATGGTACAAAATAGTGTTATAGTTTCAAAGAACTATTGCTCTGCAGGCCCGGGTGATGGATCGAAGATCTGAGACTCTGTCCCCCCTAAAGGGTCATAAAAAATACATAATAAGTATATATGCAATATCTTAATATGATCAAGTGTCACCAAAAATTTTTAGTAACAGAAAATTTTCGAAGTTGAGATCTCTATCAAATTCTGCATTTTTAAACTTTTAGAAAGCCTTCTAAATGTCTGTCACTGAAAACTCTAAAAAAGATCGAATTTCCTCAGCTTGTTTTTTTTTTTTTATATATATGAGTATATTACATATATATAATATATATCAGGTATATATCAGGTATATATTAAAGGTATATCATAAGAAAATGCTTTATTTTTTTCCTAGAATTTTACTTTATTTTCAGTGACTTTGGTGACAGTATGTAAGAATAAGATAAAAAAGAATTTAAAGCCAAAATTTAATAATATACCCATCACCAAAGTTGTCACCAAAGTTGTCACCAAAGTTGTCACCAAAGTTGTCACCAAAGATTTTTCGATGACAGATAGCATACCGCTAACATGTATATAGCATACTTGATAGCAATTATGCGACATATATTTGATAGCATGGGTGTAGTATACCCAATAGCAGAAATACAACATACTCGATAGTAATTACACGACACATATTCGATAGCATATGTTTAGCATACTCGATAGCAATTATGTGACATATATTTGATAACATGTGTATAGTATACCTGATAGCAATTAGATAGCATTCCCGATAGCAATTACGCAACACATATTTGATGAATCAGAGATTCAAGGCTCTGCCTCATAGCATTTCCCAATAACATTAATGATGTATATATCAATAGCAATAGGTAGGTAACATTAGACCAGCAAATGATGATACATAACTGAATGCATTGTTGGTATATTTTTTTGGCTATAACGGAAATCAGTCGCAATTGGGTCATTAAACTCACGATAATGTGTATATAGCAAAGTCAATAGCATGTCCTGATTGCATTAATTTTTCTATTAAATATTCTATATGGTATATATTGTTAAAGAATTTAGTGTAAATATAATTGATCTATTTAGTGGCGAAGAAGTATACAATGAGGAATATGAAGTTGAAGACTGTCATGTTAACAGGAATTCTACTATGTGTACACCATGTAAAAAGTGTGATAAGTTAACTTTTTCTATATTGGCAATATGTACAAGGTATGGTGGTAAGTATCGAAATATGAAACATTATTACCAGGAAAAGCTAGAGAAAATGGCAGAAAAATCAGAAGTGCTTAAAGAAAACTCATAGCGATATTGATATCATACCCAATAGCATTTGCATGATTATTTTTGAGGAATGATTTTCGTACATCAGTTTCGTGTAACTTCACGTACATCAATTTAGGTTTGGCCAATAAAATCACAGCA